TACATATATATTTTTTATTGTGGTTAAAAAAACACTACACAAAAATTACCGTCTTAGTCATTTTTAAGTGGTTTAATAGTGTTAACTATATGCACATTGTTGTGCAACATATCTCTAGAACTTTTTTTATCTTGCTAAACTGAAACTATATTTACTGAATAAAACTCCTTTTTTTTACCCCTACTCCTAAGCCCTGGCAATTACTTTTATACTTTCTAAGAGTTTGACTACATAAGATCCCTCATTGTTGGGAAATGCCCTCTCTGGTTTCAGGGACTGTAGCCTCGCCAACAAGCAAGAGGGCCCCAAGGCTGGGAATAATCAAGGAGGCCTTGGGAAAACAGGCCACTGAGGAGACAAAACCTGTCCCCCTGGCAAAGGCCCAGGCCCTGCCTCCCTCCCATGGTCAGTTAGTCAATGACGGGTAAGGTCTTTCACAAAGAGGGATGACCTAAGACAGACAAAGCCGGTATGGGCAGAAGACAAGGACTTGGGGGACACGCAGAAAGGGCAAAAAGGCCCGCACGCTTTGGCTCAGCTTGGCCATGGCTGGGGTCCTCATTCTATGTGAAAGAAGTCTCCTTATCTCTTGGTGGCTCTGCCCCACCTGCCTGGCTCAGGCTTGAAACAATACTAAAGGCAGGTATGCCTTAAACTGGGTAGGGCAGCTCCCAGGGGAAAATCAGGCCTAGAAATTAGTTCTCCTAAGGATGTTTTGTTCTTCCCTCAAAAGGTATGATAACCAGCTCATACTGGGAAGAAGATTTACATTATTAACAGGCCCTGACCTGAGGCAGATCTCTTGTATTCCTCCAATTGTTATCTATGATCTCTATTTGTTTTCTGTAAACATAGCCTTTTGACATTGATTAATGAGCTTTGCACCCATACCCCTGCACTATGGTTCTCAATAAAAGCCTTTGGACACAGGGGCTCGGGGCCTTCTCCACTAGAGGGAAGAGCTATGCCCCCTTTCCTGGCAAACAGAGAAGTTTTTGCGACGACTCGTGTTTAATCCCCCATCTGTGACCACCCTAGAACAGGCTCTGTGGGATTCAGGACCCTGTTACCTTCTCAGCTGGCTCCTGACAGTAACACTCAGATCCAGGAGCGCCCTGCGCGGTACTCCCCGCATCACCTCATATAAGTGAAATTATACAGTATATATAGTTTTGTGATTGGCTCATTTCACTTAGCATAATGTTCTCAAATTCATCCACACTGTAGTTGATCCACTCTAAGTAACATTCAGATGTATATGTCACATGTGCTTTACTCATGCATCCATTGATAGACATTTCTGTTGCTACCATATCTTAATTATTGTGAATAATGCTATAGTGAAAACATATGCAAATATCTATTTGAGTTCCTGCATTCAATTCTTTCGTGTGTAAACTGGGTATATACTTAGAAGTGGGATTATTGGATCATACAGTAATTCTATTTTTATTTTTTTGAGGAACCACCATTTTGTTTTCCATAGTGGTGGAACCATTTTACATTTCTAACAATGCATAAGAGCTTCAATTTCTCCACATTCTTGCCATTATCTGTTATTTTCTTTTTCTTTTTTTGATAGTGGCCACATTGATTGTGAGATGATATCTCATTGTGGTTTTGATTTACTTTCCTTGATTTTTAGTGATGCTGAGCCTTTTTCCACATGTTCATTGACCATTTCTGTATTTTCCTTGGAGAAAGAAGTATCTGTTTCAAGTTTATGTCCCACTTTTTAATCTCATTATTTTTGTTGTTGTTGACTTGGTGTTCTTTATATATTCTAAACATTGAACCATTATTAGATACATGGTTTACAATATTTTCTCATATTTTGTAGGTTGCATTTCACTCTGTTGATTGTATTCTTTTCTGCACAGAGATTTCTAAGTTTGATGTAGTACCATTTCTCTATTTTTGATTTTGTTGCCTATGCTTTAGACATCATATTCACAAAATTATTGCTAAATCCAATGTTATAAAGATTTTTCCTATGTTTTCTTCTTGGAATTTTATAGTTTTAGTGCTTATATTGAGTTCTTTAAGGTATTTTGAGTTAATTTTTTTGTATATAGTTTAAGGTTAGGGTCTAACCTTATTCTTTTGTATGTGGATATCACTATATGTTGAAGAGACTATAATTTGCTCATTGTGTAGCCTCAGCACCTTTATTGAAGATCATTTGACTATATACACAATGATTTATTTCCTCTGTAATCTGTTCCATCAGTCTGTATGTTTTCCTTTATGCCAAGATCATATTATTTTGGTTCTTGGTATGATTTTAACCTTCTTAAATTTGTTAAAACTTCTTTCATGATCTAACTGGTAACCTTTACTGGAAAAAGATTTATGTGCACTGGAGAACAATATGTGTTGCACTTCTGCTGGATAGAGTGTTATGTATATATCTGTGAGTTTCAACTGCTGTAGTGTTGTTCAGGTACTCACCTTATTTTTCTTCTGGCTCGTTGTTTTATCCATTATTGAAAGTGGGATATTGAAATCTCATTATTATTGTGTTACTGTCTATTTTTCCTTCAATTCTGTCAATCTTCGTTTCGTATATTAAGGTGCTGTGCTGTTAGATACATATATATTTATAATTGTCATATCTTCCTGGTGAATTGATTCTGTTGTACCCATATAATAATGTTCTTTTTCTCATTACAGTTTTTGACTTCACGTTCATTTTGTTTAATCTAAGTATGCTCACCGCTGTTCTCTTTTGGTTGTCATTTGCATGCAACATTTTTTTTATCTTGTTGCTTTCAAACTATGTGTTACATCTAAAGTGAGACTTCTGTAGACAGCACATGGATTGATTTTATTTTATTTAAGTTCATTAAGCCACTCTATGTCTTTTTATTGGGGAGTTCAATCCACCTTCCTTTACAGCAATTATTGATAAGGAAGAATCTACTATTGCTATTAAAATGTTTTCTGTATATCTTGTAATTATTTTGTCCCCCTTTCCTCTCCTACTGCCTTCTTTGATTGTCTTTTTCTGTGGTGACATGCTTTGAATCTTTATATTCTTTTGTGTATAATTTACAGATATTTTCTATGTGGAGACCATGGGGATTGTTAAAACATCTTACAGTTGTAACAATCTATTTTAAACTCATAACAATTTGACTTTAATTGCACAGAAAAACCCTACTCCTTCACATTTCCCCCTCTTTATGTTATCAGTGTCACAAAATAAATCTTTTGTATTTTGTGTTCATTATCATAGTTTTATAGTTTTATGGTTATTTTTATGCTTCTATGTTTCAAGTTCTGTATCACAATTAAAACTGATTTACACACTATTATTACAGTATTACAGAATTTTGTATTAGTGTATATACTTACCTTTATTAAAGACTTTTATATTTTCACGTTGCCATCTAGCATCCTTCCGTTATAAAATTCTAAAGACTCACTTTACTATTCTTTTAAGGCTTGTCCAGTGGTGATGAAATCTGTCAACATTTGTTTATCTTGGAAAACCTTTATTTCTCTTTTGTTTCTTGAAGGGCAGTTTAGTTAGATAGAGTATTCTTGGTTGGAATTATTATATTTTTAGTACTTTGAATATATCATTCCACTCCTTTAGACCTATGATATTTTTGCTGAGAAACCTACTGATAATCTTATGGGAGTGCCCTTGTACATGACGAGTTGCTTTTCTTTTGCTTCTTTCATATTTTTTCTCTGTATCTTTGACTTTTGGGAGTTTGATTATAATTGTCTCAGTGTGGGTTTCTTTGGGTTTATCCTAGTTAGAATCTTCTGAGTTTATTGAATTTGGTTGCCTATTTCTTTCCTAAAATTTGGGAAGCATTGGTAATTATTTCTTTTTTTCCCTATTTTTGAAAAGCCAGTGTAATACACTTTTATTGCAATTATAAAACTCAAAATTTATATGTAGTGCAGGGATGGAAGTTGGAAGGTAGGCAGCAATAATTTCTTTCACCAAATCACTATACTGGACAGCAAAGGAGAGAGAGGGGATAAGGAAAAGCCAGGAAACATCAAGATCAACAGGAGGAACTGAGCATTAAAAAATAAGAAAGGCTGAAGTTGTGATGGCCAGCATCATTTTATTAAGACAACACTCAGGGATTTGTCATGATGGCTAGGCTTTCATTCAGTTTTTAGTTTAATTCACCTTCAATTTAATTTAGTGTTCATCACCTTCAATTTAAACATTCAATTAAAGTTCTTAAAATGTAGGAAGTGGTGCATGGGTAGCTATGAGATTATAAAAATCCCTAATATTTATTAGGAAAAAAACCAAAACAAAACATAAGCTGGTGGAAAAGTCAGTCCATAAAGAAGGCTTCAGAGGTCCAAGCTGACCCAGGACAGACACCTGTCCAACATTGCAGTGAAAAAGATTTGCTTTTAAAAGGCAGAGGGTTTCAGGGGAGGGTGGGATGGGCAGTGGAGTCAAGAGTTCTCCCCTTCCCCACTTCAGTTTTGGGTAGGACTCTTAATTCAACCCAAAAATATTTCTCAATTTGGAAATAATTAGGCCCTCAACAGTTCTTCAAATCTGCTATGGCTTTGCAGCACAGAAGCAAGAATGTTTAATATATAATAGAAAAAATTTCATCCAAAAAATAAGATAAAGATTCTTGCATTCCCCTCCCCCCACACAACAATTCCTAGTCTCAAGTCGTGGTGTTAATACTTGACTAGTACTTAGTTCGAAACCTAGATCCAAAAGACTGCAACTGAATCTTCACCTGAAAACAAAATAAAAAGAGTTACCTGAGGTTTATGGCATGTAGTTTAAGCTAACACACATACGAAAAGAAGGAGGAAGAGCAAAATGGGTGACAGAACACATTTAGTCAGGACAGACATTTACATAGAGTATGGTGGAACATAAGGAAAAGCTCTGTAAAGATTTGTGAGTGCTCATTGAGGACATTGGATCCCTCCACAGCACATCTAAGAACAGGGAGCTCAGGGAGTAGGTCATTCCTGTTATTCCAGTTTTAGAAGCTCTACATTAAAACAAGAGTGGCTTTTCGAAGGGTGATGCCTGGGTGCCCAGTGATATCATGGACATAGTATGGGGAGATAGTCAGTTTGGATCTCTGACCCACACTCATCTGGGCAATCCCTTCTTCCCAGCCTAGCATAAACTTAAAGGGTTTGTTTCTGTCCTGGGAGGAATCAAATTTCTTTCCATTTTCAAGCATCCCCATGTAGTGTACCATGCAGGTCTGCCTGTGCTTTAGGAAGGTACATCCATCTCTGGGGTAGATGGTCTCCACCTGCACTCCCATGGCTGCAGCAGGGGCATACGGTGGGTGAGTGGCATGGAAGGTGTCGTGGACCAAAACCAGACCTGGTGGTGGATCTGAGGCTTTGCTTTGTTCACTGGTAATTATTTCTTAAATGCACTCTCTGCCCCTGTTAGTCCCTTGGATTTTGTTACACCTTTAGTCATTCTTTTCTCCTTTTTCTTTCTCTGACTTGATAATTTCAAATGACTTATCTTCAAGTCTCTTTTTTTTTGCTGATTCTTTCTTCCATTTGATGAAGTTTATTGTTCAACCCTCCTAGTGAATATTTTAATTCAGTTATTGTGTTCCTCAATTCCTGAAGTTCTGCTTTTTAAGAGTATCCATCTCTTTGTTTGTATTTTCATTTTGTTCATGCATCATTTTTCCAATTTTGCTTAGTTGTCTGTTTTATTGTGCAGTTCATTGAACTTCTTTAAGATGATTATTTTGATTTTTTGCCTCATAATTCTTAGGTATCCATTTCGTTAAGGCTGTTTCTGCGCTGGCTTGGGGGAAGACCTCTCCTGGGTGAAGCTTTTCTTATCCATTTCAATGTGGCTGGTCTTGGCTTTGCACTTTCTTGGGATACTATGACTTTTTAACTGGTTTCTGGAATTCTCTTAAAGGTCTTTTAGACATTACATTGTTAAGTTGGTGTCTCTGTCGGGGAACAAAATATGGGGCTTCTTATTGTGCTAACTTGCTAAAGTTACATTTTAAAAGCACATTTATATTTGTGTTTGCTTCAGCAGAACTTATACTAAAATTGGAACAATACAGAGAAGATTAGCATGGCCCCATGTGCAGGGGTAATACACAAATTCATGAAGCATTCCATATTTTTTTCCTAAAAAAAAAAAAGAGAAAAATGTGCATTTATTTCCCTATCTGTAACGCTTACAGTAAGACTGGTAACTACTCTGCCTGAGGTGGTAAGATTGGCTGTAATATTTAAACACCTTAAGGAAATTTAAAGACATTGTAATTATATTTATTCTTAGAAAGCATAGTAACAGAGACAGTTTACCCTCCCTTTCCAATTTAGGGAATATGAGACCTAAGAAATTTAGTAGCTTGTCCAATGTGAGCAATCAGTTGGGATTCAGCCTCAGCACTGCCTGGCTCTCAAACCCCTGTTTTTCTTAGTCTACCATATCCTGCTGTGGAGTGATCTATTAGAAACACACAGACACACACACAAACACACACACACATTGTTGAAATACATTCACGAAAAGGTTTATTTTATATATTCCTCTGAAGTACTATTGAATGTAATTGTCAGTTTATATTATTGTTTTTTGTAATGCTTTAGATATGAAGAAGATATTGGTTGGATTATTCCTTGACCTATGCACCTTTTTCTCACTAAATTTATTTTGTTGTTAGAAATCTTGATTACTTTAGATATTCTAGTAGTCACAACATTGCCATACAGTACTAAGTTTAGTCAATACATCATTATTCTGGTATAGACTTTTCAGAAAAAGATTAGTTACTAGAAGGCAATGAACTTGACACATACCCAAATAACAGCAAATTCTTAAGTTTGTACTTAAATGATTACCATTTAGCTACTCTAGCTTTGCATTAAATCAACTAGAGATGCTGTTATAGATTCATATGTATGGATAAATAGTGATGAAAAATAATTACCTAACACTCTAAAAGTAGAGCCTTTTCCATACCTTTTGAATTTCTTTCTCAAGGAGTCAAATGTCTTACAGGCATCTTATAATTAATTTTTACATCTTTTAAATTTTTTATAAAATTCTGATTAATGGGAATCAATAGTGTATGTTAATTATATAGGCAAATGAAGCAGGCTGTATACCTAATAGATAAGAATCATTATGAGTTCCCAGCTTGGTTCAACCACTTACCACTGTGTGACCCTAGGCAAAATCATTAACTTTTCTGTGCCTCAATTTTCTCCATCCGTAAAATACATCTGAGAAGTAATAGAACGCATTTCTTTGATGAATATTAAGGTTTAAATACAATGAGCTGACAAGTGTTTGGAACATAGAGCTAAATCAATGAATCTTAGCTGTTATTTTAGAGAAATATGGTACAAGTAGAAATGTTTCAATCAATTTATTTAGGGAAACAAATATATATTTGAATTCTGAGGCACAGAATAAACTTTAAAAAGTGAGTAGGATATGGTCTGAAATCAAATAAAATATTTCTAAAATGTGTAAACACTTAATAATTTTCTGCCTAGAATGTATTGAACCAATTTATTTGATCTATGAGCATTTATCCTCTATCCAGATGTATAGGGGAAAACAAACAAAGCCTTTGCTCAGGCAATTACAATCTACTTGGGGAAGGCCAACATGTCCAGAGAAAAGATAAATAGAATATTAAGTGACAAAATGAGTGGAAAAAACAAGCATTCTGTGAAAGATGAGCATGGTGAATTAGAGTGGTATGGAACAGCCTCATGGAGAAGGACAGCTCTGAATTTCAGCTGACTAGAGAAGAAAAGATTCTATAAGTGAGAAGGCATTGTGGTACAAATAAGCCAAAAGCTTTATACAAATCAGTGAACATAGGAATCATTTTGTAGGCTTGTTAAAATGCAGAGTCTGATACCAGAGGTTGGGGCAGAACCCAAGATTTTGCATTCTGAGACAATTTGCAGGTGATGTTGAGCAGCAAGAAAATAACTTACATTTAAGAGACAGTTGGAAGAGATTACAGTGGTGAGAATAATAAGGAGGCTATTCCAGAGTCTAAGCACAAGTGATAAAGGACTAAATTAAGATGGAAGCAATGGTAATGGAAAGAAAAAGACAGTCATAAGAGATTATTTAAAATATAAATGGAAAATACACAACACTTGACTAAATATATAGGGAAAAAAGATAGGCTTCAATGGTATACTTTGATGGAGAAATGAATTGACACAAGTAATGACGTTAAGGAGTGAACAGACTTGAGGTGATAAGAGATCAGCATGGGTTTCTGAGATGTTAAATTTGAGGTAGAGGTATGGTTTTCAAGAGGATCAAGTATCTTGTAGGCAGGGCTGGAAAGGAATATTAGAATTATCTGTGTAGAGGTGAAGCTGCAGCTATAAAGAGAGAATTTTGGAGTTCTCCATGTGCTAGTGAAGAGTAATATGGTCAGGAGAATGAAAGAATGAATTTTTGGAAATGTCCCCATTTGGTGGAAAGGAGAGGAGGGGTGAAGTAGAAGAGGAGTAGGAATAGACCTGAAATTGTAGAACACCAGAGGTAGAAAAAGTGCTCTCAAGATTTCTATCACCATGTGTTGTGCCTGAAGATAAGTAACTGAGAGAAATGTCAAGACATTTTTATTCTTATATTAAATAATGTCTTTTTGAGATTTTTAAATTTAAAAAGTATTGTTTATTTTTGGGAAAAATTTGAAAACATGGAAAACAATAAAAGAGAAAGTGTAAAAGACAAAAATAGGAACAAAAAACGAGGGCAACAAATAGAAAACAATAATAAATATGGTGGATATTAATCCAACTATATCAATGGTAACTTTGAATGTTAATGGTCTAAACTTCAATGAAAAGACAGAAGTTGTAAATGTGATTCAAAAAACAAGACCAATTACATGTTATTGACAGAAAACTCATTTTAAATATAAAGATGCACATAAATTAAAAGTAAAGAAATGAAGAAAGATATATGCTAAAAATAAAAGAAAGTAGGAGTAGCTATATTAATTTCAAACAGAGCAGACATGAGAGCAAGAAAAGTTATTAGGGATAAAGAGAGACATTACACAATTATAAAGGAGTCAATACTCCAAAAGACTTAATGATCCTTAATAGGCATACTCCTAGCAACAAAATATCAAAATATCTGAAACAAATGCTGGTAGAACTGTAAGGAGAAATAAATGAATCAACAGTTTTAGTTGACAGTAGTTGAAGAGTAACACTCTACTCTCATAAATGAAAAAATTCAAACAGCAAAAGATACTTAAGGCATAGATGAACCTAACAGTACCACCAATCCACTAGATACAATTGATACCTATAGACTACTTCACAAAACAACAGCAGATTACACATTCTTCTCAAGCTTACATGAAATATCAGCCAACATAGACCACAGTAGAGCTATAAAATCATACAGTGTCTATTCTCGTACTGCAGTGGAATAGAGTCCAATAACAGAAAGATAATTGGAAAATCCTAAAATACATGGATATTAAAAAACACATGAGTTAAAGTAACCTAAAAAATATTAAAAAGTATTTTGAATTAAATGAAAGTTGAAATACAACTTTCCAAAATTTGTATGATGAAGCCCTAGCTGGTGTGGCTCAGTGGATTGAGCCCCAGCCTGCAAACCAAAGGGTTGACAGTTCGATTCCCAGTCAGGGCAGTGCCTGGGTTGCGGGTCACGTCCCCAGCTGGGGTTGTGCAAGAGGCAACCACACATTGATTTTCCTTCCTCTCTTTCTCCCTCCTTTGTTCTGAAAATAAATAAATAAAATCTTTTAAAAATATGTGTATGATGAAGCCAAAGCAGTACTGACAGGAAAATTTATAGCATTGAATGCATATCTTAAAAAAAATTAAAATCTAAAATTAATAATGTAAGCTTTCACCTTAGGAAACTAGTAAAAAAAGAAAAAAAGTTAACTCTCAGGTAATAGTAAGAAAATAAATAATAAAAGAGCACAAATCATTGAAATTGAAAATTGGAACTCAACAATAAAAATCTACAAAATTAAAAGGTGGTTATTTGAAAAGATCAATAAAGTTGAAAAGCCTCTAGTCACACTAACTAAGAAAATAGAGAAAAGATAATTCACTACTGTGATAAATGAAAGAAGGGACATCACTCCAGAACTCCTTGCCTCAAGGAAGAAGTAAAGGAGAGGAAGGACTTGAAGACTGATGACCAGAGAGGGACCCACGACTAAGATGAGTTCATCTGCATGCTCATTTCCATGCTGGCTCAGGAATGTATGTTGGCCAGGCTGATGGAGCAGAATATCTCTGGGTGGCAGCATAACTGGGGCAGCATCGACTGGCTCCACAAGCAGTGGAAGCCTGACCTGCAGAAATACCCAAGACCCTACAAAGCTAAACACTAATAATGAGGACTGCTGGCTCCAACATTGTAGCCACTCTTGCCTTATGACCCTCACCAGGGCCCCTTCCTTGCCCCACTCCCTTCTTCCCGGCATTACTGAATTCCAGCCAGAGAGCCCAGACCTTGCAAATGGGAGCCAGGCCTGGATTCCCTGCATTGTGCCCCAGGCCTGGTAGGGCAGACCAATATCATAGTGCTTAGAAAGCAGTAGCTGAAGCTGAGGCAGAGAGAGGTGCTGTGGCTTTTTCCACAGCAGGCTGTGGAGACGCAGGACCTGGCCTTTCTGTCTGGGTAGGAGAATATATATTTTACCTACAGACATGTCTGTTTTTCTGGGTTCTGGATCATCTTGTCACCACTGTGTTGACATAGCCAGCTTCTTATACCAATTCTGTACAATAGCCTTCAGAGGACAGAAGCAAAGGGATTATTTCCTAATTAACCCTGAGGTTGGCATTACCCTAATAAAAAAGTAGGCAAAGACACTACAAGAATATAAAACTTCAGACCAATATTTCTTGTAAACATAAATGCAAAAATCCTCAACTCGATATTATACATTTTATCCAAAAAAGTATAAAAGAATTACACACCACAACAAGTGGGATTTATCACAGGTATGCCAGACCAGTTCAACATTTTAAAATAAATTAATGTGGTCCATCACATCAATGGCAAAAAAGTCACAATGTTATATCAATAAGTACAAAAAATTTTTGATAAAAACCAGTAGTTATTCATGATAAAAACT